ACACAACAGCAAGAAACTCTACTGCATGCTGGACAGACTGCAAGCAATCACCCTGGGAAACAACTCTTACATACCTGAGATCCACTCTGTGTACCTTTTATATAATACACCCCTCTTCTCCTTATCATATTACTATCCTCTGTTCCCAAATCTCATTTCTTTACCCCTCTTCTCCACCCCAAAACTTGTACATCTCCCCCTCATTGCTATCATCTCCCTACTATTGCTCTCTTCACCTCCCCAAAATTCCTCTTCTACTCCTCCTTCTCATTTTCCTCTCCTCCGTTCCCAAAATCCATTCACTATATCCCTCTGCTCTTCCCAAACAATTGTATATTGTGTCCTCACTGCTTCCTTCACCCTCTATGGCACCCACCACCTCCTCCTATTACTCCACTCTCCCACTGACCCCAACACCTCCACTAGGAGTTTCTCACGCTCCTGCACATCCCGCTCCCATGCCACCTTTCTCACCCTTCTCCTCCTCATAACCGCGGGGGACATCTCCCCCGAATCCTGGCCCTCCACCACCTCCCTCACCCGCACAACACCCTCCCGCCTCCACGTCCCGCCGCAACTTAGTATCTGTCCCCCTGCTCCCTAAAATCTCCCCCCCGTTTTCATGTGCACTCCTGAACGCCCGATCGGTGTGCAACAAGCTTACCGCCATCCACGACCTCTTTGTTTCCTCCTGGCGATCACGGAAACCTGGATCCAGCCCACTGACTCCACCTCCCCTGCTGCACTCTCCTACGGAGGTCTCACCTGGACCCACTCACCCAGGCCTAACGGTCGTAAAGGTGGTGGGGTTGGCCTGCTCCTGTCACCGCAGAGCACTTTCCGAGTCCTCCCAAACCCCCCCTCCCTATCCTTCTCCTCCTTCGAGGCCCACTGCGTCCGACTATTCTCCCCAACCCCCCTGAAGATTGCTGTGATATACCGGCCTCCTGGATCCATACCCCGCTTCCTGAATGACTTCTCCTCCTGGCTACCCTTCTTCCTCTCCTCTGAGATACCCACCATCATTCTTGGGGATTTTAACATCCCTGTCAACCTCGACAACCCGGACACAGCCCGTCTCCTCCACTTAACCTCCTCCTTTGCACTTGCACAGTGCATACAATCCACCACCCACTCCGACGGTAATATTCTTGATCTTGTCTTCTCCAACCGCTGCGCTCCCACAACCTCACTAACACCCCCTTCCCTCTCTCTGACCACAACCTGTTTACCTTCTCTTTCTCCTCGTCCTCCAACGCCTACCCCTCCAAATGTCACACTACTACCAGCCGTAACCTCCGCAACCTTAACCCTGCCCCCCTCCACTCTGCAGCTGATCAACTCCATGACCGCATCCTCCCCCTGTCCTGCCCCGACTTGGCTATGACTGCCTACAACAACGTGCTGTCAACAGCCCTTGACTCACTAGCGCCTTTAACCACACGCAACATCAGACCCCGACCGCTCCAGCCCTGGCAGACTGATCACACCAAAACCCTCAAACGACACAGTCGTGCCCTGGAGCGACTATGGCGCAAAACCAAATCCCAACAAGCCTTCACCCGCTACAAATCTGCCTTCCACACCTACACCTCCTCTCCCTCCATGCTGCCAAACAGGCCTACTTCTTGACCCTCATCAAGGCCCTCTCCTCCAATCCTTGCCGACTCTTCTCCACCTTCAACTCTCTACTCTCTCCACCCCCACCTCCACCCAGCACCTCACTCACTGCCCTCACTTCAAAAACATGATTGACACAATTCGCAAGGACATTGCCCCAACTCACACACCCTCTCAACCCCCCCCCTCTCACACAGCTACCCCCTCATCCCTCCTCCCCCTCGACATAACCCGCAGGGACTTCGTCGCTGTTCAAACTCTCTCCAACCCCCTTCACCCTCACTCAGCTACCCCCTCATCACCCCTCTCCCATGGCCCCACCACTGCTCTGACCTCCTCTTCCACCCCACTCTACATTTCTCATACTGAAGCTCCCCCCCAACACTCCGCACCTTTGACCTTACTACCATCGAGGAAGTCTCCAAGATCCTCCCAGATGCCCACCTCACCACCTGCCCCCTCGACCCTATCCCCTCACAACTCCTACGACCTCCTTCCCCCTCCATCCTACGCTCCCTCACCCACATCTTCAATCTCTCCCTCTCCTCAGGCACTTTCCCCTCCCCTCTGAAACATGCACACATCACCCCCATACTTAAAAAGCCCTCCCTGGACCCCAATGACCCGAACAACCTCAGACCCATCTCCCTGCTCCCATTTACATCTAAATTCCTCGAGCGCCTAGTCTACACCCGCCTATGCTCTCACCTCAACGACAACAACCTCCTCGATCCCCTACAGTCCGGCTTCCGTCCCCTACACTCCACCGAAACTGCCTTACTCAAACTCTCCAATGACCTTCTAACCGCCAAAGCTAATGGCCACTATTCAGTGCTCCTACTCCTTGACCCCTCTGCGGCCTTCGACACATTCGACCACCCCCTCCTCCTCAAAAAACTACACTCCCTCAGCCTCAGAGATTCTGCTCTCTCCTGGCTCTCATCCTACCTGTCACAACGCTCTTTCAGCGTTACCTATAATGCTACCACCTCCCCCTCACTCCCCCTCTCTGTTGGGGTCCCTCAAGGCTCTGTCCTCGGGCCCCTTCTCTTCTCCATCTACACCTCCTCCCTTGGCCAACTCATACACTCTCACGGCTTCAACTACCACCTCTATGCCGACGACACACAAATCTATCTCTCAACCCCCCACCTCACCCCCTTGGTCTCAGCCCGAATCACACACCTACTGAGCGACATATCAGACTGGATGTCGCTCCACTTCCTTAAATTGAACCTCTCCAAAACCGAGTTTCTTGTCTTCCCCCCAGCCCGCACACCACCCCCCATTGACTTCTCCATCACATCCAACAAAGCCACCATCAAACCCGCCCCGCAGGCCAGAGTACTTGGTGTCATTCTGGACTCCAACCTATCCTTTCAACCCCAAGTCCAATCTTTAACAAACCCGTGCAGACTCCACCTCCGCAACATCGCCAAAATCCGCACGTTCCTAACCCCAGAAACCACTAAACAGCTCATCCACTCCCTCATCATATCACGACTCGACTACTGCAACTCCCTCCTCACTGGCCTGCCTCGCCGCTGGCTATCCCCGCTTCAGTCCATCCTGAATACGGCTGCCAGACTCATTCACCTTTCCAACCGCTCCCTCTCCGCCACCCCCCTCTGCCAATCCCTCCACTGGCTTCCGATTGCGCAACGGATCAAATTTAAAATCCTAACACTGATGTACAAAGCTGTCCACCATACTGCCCCGAACTACATCACCGACCTAATATCCAAGTACCGCCCACACACACACTCCGCTCCTCACAAGACCTCCTTCTCTCTAGTTCCCTGGTCTCCTCCTCCCATGCCCGCCTCCAGGACTTCTCCAGGGTGTCACCCATCCTCTGGAACTCCCTGCCCCAACCCATCAGATTATCACCTACTCTCCTCTCCTTTAGGCGCACCCTGAAAACCCATCTCTTCAGGGAAGCCTACCCCACCCCCTGCTAACTTGCCGACCTCCTCCACTCTTCCTACCACTCCATCCCCCACAGCTATCTCCTCCTGTACCACCATCCCCTCCCTCCTAGATTGTAAGCTCAAAAGAGCAGGGCCCTCGATCCCCTCATGTTTTGCATTGTATTGGTATTGTTCTGTCACATGTTCTGTCCCCCTTTGTAATGTACAGCGCTGAGCGAACTATTGGCACTTTATAAATACTGTATAATAATAATAATATCAAGCATACATTGATACTATTACACGTCAGCTTGAAGACATGCAAAGGATTCCATGGATATAGATATACTGTATCTGTGCAGACATATCTGCAACTTGTGTGAGCAAATTAAAAGACAAGACGTAGTCGGCAGGATTTGAACCTGCGCGGGGAGACCCCAATGGATTTCTAGTCCATCGCCTTAACCACTCGGCCATGACTACCTTGCTGATTGTTGCATCTAAAGGAG